TAGTCGTGATTTTAATCATAGTAATTTCATCTGCTCGTGTATCCAGCTATTTCCTCAAGAAAGCAGCGAGAAAGTAAAATGAGGCAAACCATTATAATTGCTGCCATCGCCATCAATATTGCCCAGGCGTGTTATTGCAAGGCCAAATTGTGAATAAATTCCGTAGCCACGGATTTTTATTGGTTCCAGGAAAACTTTCGAGTTTTCTTGGCGTCCACGTCGTTGTCCCGATGAATAGTATATGTAAACTGCACCACCAAATGAACCGTCGGCTGTTTCCGCGTATTCAAAAGGTGCACCAACCAACAGGTCATCGAAACTGAAAATATCATTATAATGTGATTATTACTTCTGTTTCCAGTGATACTCTGATCAGTTGATGTTTCACTCTACCCGTCATTGATGCAGCTGGCAACTTCTCCATTCTTCTCTCGCTCGGAGCTTCCTCATAATTCACATAATCCCGTGTGCTGCCGTTCAAGCGGATTCTTCCACTGCATTGCTGACTTTCCCAGTGTTCGATTTGGACATCAGTTTAATAAAGCTATTTTCTTATCATTAACTCAGAATCTCCTGATTTTCTTATTATTACAAAGTCATATTATAATTCTTATTCTCTCAAGCAAATAATGTTGAAGCACTGACCCATCGTTATTGAGATCAGTTACTTCGATGGCATAACCGAACGCTGAACCGAGTTGTGAGCCAAGCAACATAAAACTATCATCGGTAAGGGTCAGCTGATGGGCTAGCTGGGCATTCGCTGTTTGACCATAACGAAATGGCAGGAATGTCACAGCACCGGTTTGATTGTACCGCGTTGCACCGCTCACAATTGTCGTGTTTTCTTTATCTTCGAACCTGTAGCAAACAGAAATATGAAAATTATAACCCGAAAAATCCTGGAATTGATGTTTTAACAAAAATAGATCAAAACATGACCTGACCCTTCCAGGAATTAGGCTTTGGATTTCTGATACGATTTCTTTAGTTATCGCTGGTTTTCGCGTCCT